AAAAGGTGCATTGGCGCAAGCTTAAACTCTTTCAACCTGGGATCCTTTAAAAGAGGCGTGAAGAAGCAACATGCAGGCCGGCAGGCTGAGGATGGCTGGTGTGACAGGTAGAAGTGCTGTATCAGCTATCTTCACGCCTTCACGTAACATCAGGTTGGGTGGTGCTATTTGTCGGACCTATCTATATAAAAATTTGATCTTTAATTTCTGAATTTTGGGAAAAGAAAAATTAATAATTGTGTTCTTATATTTATTTACTGAACTCTCAGTCTGACTCGCACTTGTCTACGGTTTTTTTTATTGCAATATAATGTAAAGATTTTTTTAAGTGAAACTTTTATTACATCGCTACAATTTTTCGTTTATCTTCAGCAGGTCGCATTAAATGTTATGTTAATTTAAAAAAATCAGTATTTATCAACAATCATCGGTGGTTCAGTTGTAGAAAACTACGCGGGCGGTCCGGGTTCGAATCCCAGTCGAGGAAGGACTTTTTTATAAATGATTTTAAAAAATCACACGCATCGTAGTTTCATATAACCACGCTTATTTTTTTAGTTTAATACGATGATTAAAATAAAAGTATAAGTAAAATAAAAGTTATTAAGTAAGTTGCAAAATGTTGATCTCTCCTGGCGACCGATTGTACGAAAACTTCTGTGGTAAGTAGTTAGTGCGACTAGATAAGAAAACCGGTACCTACTTATGCACAAAACGTACTTTTAATACTTTTACAGGCATAGTCATACAACTCTACCTCATAAAATTGTTAGAAATACTTCAGTTATCATTCTTTAAAAACTCAAGTTTGACATTTATACAAATAACCAGGCACTCAACTCTCAAGTCATTTATTTTAATTCGTTGTGCTGTTTTTTGTGCTTTACATTTGTGTTTTCAAGTTCAGTGACGCCATCTACTTTTGAAAAAAACAATTTATTAATCTGTAGGTAGGTACCTACTTACCTACTTCGTTAAATTTATTACAATGAAGTGGGTAGGATATGCTTGGTAATTTTAAGTTATTCTAATAAATTATGATATTATTAAACAAATAATAGTTTCATAAACAATTGCACAAAATTTGGCACAAAAAATAATTCAAATTTTTCATTGAAAACAAAAATTGAAATTAGGTACATGGGTTTATAGAGTTCACAACTTGCAGACGCTACGTTTCATCAGAAAAATCTTATCGCAAAGATTCGCCGTTTCATTACGCCCATATTCACAAAGGAAAACAAATAAATTACGCGCGCGAACTGAGTGAAAAGAAATTCGAAACAAAAGAATTCCCTGGCTCGCGCACTTTGAGTGGCAGCGCGCCACCTATCGCGCGCTGGCGTGACTAGCGTGCAAATCGCCCCCCGGCACTAGATGTCGCTGTGCGATGCTAAACGTCAAGTCCCGACATATTTATGGGCAAAAAAACAGCATTTTCGTAGAAACGGAATGGGTTTTAAATGACTCGGTGAATTTGTGCGCGATCTCACGAATTTGTATGCAGATTTAAGGAGAGAGATGTCTGAAAGGAGACAATGTGTTTTTTTCAGTCGTGCAGACAGATTACGTTATTTATTTGCCGACACGAGTTTGTTTTCAAGCGATAGATTAGGTATTCGAGTACGAACAATCTAACATCCACCTCCAAACACAAAAATGTTTACACACAAGTCACACAATTCTAAAGAAGTACGACACGATTTCACACCTACCCACAGGACATACACCAATATGTATTATACTTCTGGTAAATAAGTAGTTATTTTGGTACTTTTATACTGTAGTGACTTACATATTTCATATTTTACTATAAAACTAAAATCATAATCAAATACTTCTCTGCTGATTTTAAGAGAGGTATTGGTGTCGATTCTGGCGGGATTCTCTAATCTTAAAACTAAATTTAACATCATTCTACAGAAGTTAGTTCGGGAAACCATTCTTTCCATGCAGACGAAGTCGCGGCGTGACCCCCCACAGAACACAGTATGGGTGCTCCACAAAATACAGAAAGAGGTTAGGAGGATGATCTTAGACCGTTTGTTCGGGAACCGATGTCGCCGGCTCGCGCACACATCACTATCACCATATAGATAATAGCCAATCAAACAACGCGACATCAAACAATCAAACCAATCAATGCCCCGAGCGCAACGACGCAATCGGAACCAAGTTTTGGTCAAGTTATGAGCATTTGCTCACACATAACTGCGGCGCACCCGCGCCGCCCACAGGGTCCTTCTAACCTCTTTCTGTGTTCTGTGGGGTGCTCCATGGCAGTCACCCACTAGATAAATATACATAGGACGTCACACAACTTTGCCACATGAGAAAAGCTCCATAAATACTGTAGGTAGGTAGATAGAAAACTTTACTGAAAGAAGACTTTATATTTGTCTCTTAGGTTTTCACGCACACCACTCATTAAATAAAACATTTTTTATAATTTTTATTATTTTTAAAGCATGTAACTGCTTGATGTTTAAATCTATTAATTATTTTCTTTAGATTTAAACATCAAGCAGTTACATGCTTTAAAAATAATAAAAATTATAACTATAATTGCTATTTCTTCTTTCAAATGTTTAATACTTGTAAAAGTATTCATTTGACATTGTGGGTTTACCTATAATGCGAAGAGATGGCGCTGCCTTGCAGCTTAAGAATAGCTAGAAAGAATTTCGACGCGGTCCGTGAGGGCCGCGGTAGCATAATTGGTCAGTGCATTCGCCCGGATTGCGAAGGGTGCGGGTTCGAGTCCCGTCTGCTGCCTGGTCTGCGTGGAATTTTTTCTAGTTATATTTTCTTTAGATTTAAACATCAAGCAGTTACATGCTTTAAAAATAATAAAAATTATAACTATAATTGCTATTTCTTCTTTCAAATGTTTAATACTTGTAAAAGTATTCATTTGACATTGTGGGTTTACCTATAATGCGAAGAGATGGCGCTGCCTTGCAGCTTAAGAATAGCTAGAAAGAATTTCGACGCGGTCCGTGAGGGCCGCGGTAGCATAATTGGTCAGTGCATTCGCCCGGATTGCGAAGGGTGCGGGTTCGAGTCCCGTCTGCTGCCTGGTCTGCGTGGAATTTTTTCTAGTTATATTTTCTTTAGATTTAAACATCAAGCAGTTACATGCTTTAAAAATAATAAAAATTATAACTATAATTGCTATTTCTTCTTTCAAATGTTTAATACTTGTAAAAGTATTCATTTGACATTGTGGGTTTACCTATAATGCGAAGAGATGGCGCTGCCTTGCAGCTTAAGAATAGCTAGAAAGAATTTCGACGCGGTCCGTGAGGGCCGCGGTAGCATAATTGGTCAGTGCATTCGCCCGGATTGCGAAGGGTGCGGGTTCGAGTCCCGTCTGCTGCCTGGTCTGCGTGGAATTTTTTCTAGTTATATTTTCTTTAGATTTAAACATCAAGCAGTTACATGCTTTAAAAATAATAAAAATTATAACTATAATTGCTATTTCTTCTTTCAAATGTTTAATACTTGTAAAAGTATTCATTTGACATTGTGGGTTTACCTATAATGCGAAGAGATGGCGCTGCCTTGCAGCTTAAGAATAGCTAGAAAGAATTTCGACGCGGTCCGTGAGGGCCGCGGTAGCATAATATTGGTCAGTGCATTCGCCCGGATTGCGAAGGGTGCGGGTTCGAGTCCCGTCTGCTGCCTGGTCTGCGTGGAATTTTTTCTAGTTATATTTTCTTTAGATTAAAACATTTTATATTTAAATTTAGATGCACTGATTTATTTCGCCAGAATTATTATTTTATTTACTTTGTCCATAAAATCATAAGTCTGAAAACGCAGCCTGAAAAGGATGCGAAACGTCCTAAATGAATAGGTAAATCAGTGCATGTATACCGTTCAAACTTGTTTTATTTAATCTTAATTTTTAAAACAATAGAATTTTTTAGAACTACATTCAAAGAATTTTAAATAACTGCCTGTCTGAACCGGGAATCGAACCCGCTTAATGTTAAAATAACATTATATTTAGTTTCACATACGTCTTTCCTTAAAATTCTATGTATCTGTTTTTGTTATCAATCTATATTTGTGCCAAAACTCGTCTCAATCGGTTAGTTGTTCCAGCTCAGTATCTTATCTACTTAAATTAAACGTTATGAACTGACTGAAAGATTTATTTTATATTATTAAATTGTTGTTCCAGTCTCTCACAATCGATTACATAAAGTCCTATATTAAGAATATTTATAGCTATTTTAAGTTCTTATTTAATGTTTCAAAATCATGAACTATTTTGTGTAGGTACCCAAATAGTTATAAATAAAAGTACAATTATTTTTCTAAAATGAGTCTGGAAACTTCTAATGGGTTCCCACCACGCTGCTGAACATATGCTAATGAATAAAGCGAATACTACTGCTAATTACTAACAAATTAACAGCCATCACGTACCGTAACTTGAAATCTTAACATTTTGCTGGAAACTTATTGAAACAAATGGGGTGGCAAATCTGCTGGGCTCTGTGCGCTGCCCGTCTCGTCGGGACCCCCATAAATATCACCCTGAGACATTGTCAACCACCCTAATTTACTGCTAGTAATTAAGAGTTTGCACTTTGCCAAAACGATTTGCATCGATTGGGCGGTAGGGCAGGACGTTAAGTCAGATAAGTAGTGTTGGTTCTGTGATATTATTTTGGGAGGAAGATATTTAGTTCATTAAATTGAAAAATGGCAAAGAAATCGAAATGTAATAAATATTTTGTTGATTTTGTAGTGTAAAATATTGTGTTGTAGTCAAGTTGTAGCTAAACAGCGATAAAGTAAAGCAAACTTTTTGTTTTTTAAAAAGCAGCGCCATCTAGTAGATTTTCCTCAAAACTCTCAAACAATATACAGCCGTTTGCAGCATGGAGTTGTGGTACAATATGTTGAACAATATTCTTTAGAGATGGCGTTACTATATACTAAAGTCAATCGGTTTTCGCGCCACTTTTTGACGTAAACAAACGTCAAAAACACATCCTTGTTTCGTGTTGTGATTTTGTGATGTGATAAAAACTTATTTATTTAATTATGTATACCATTGTTGTTTAGTTGTACTAGATATTTTCTGTGTCTTATTAGATAAATTAGTGTAAAGATGGACCCTTACGAAATAGAGTTTATAGGAGAAAACAGAATCAGCAGTATCATACCAAACTTCACATACGATAAAATCTATTTGATTTGTGGGGAATTTGGACCTTTCCGTGCTGGTTTACCTCTTAACGTGCCACTATGGTTAGCAATTATGCTAAAACAAAAACAAAAATGCAGGATTGTGCCACCAGAATGGATGGACATTGATGTCTTGCAAAATATCAAAGAAGAGGAGAAACGGTCAAGGTATTGTTCTATTACCTCAATTGTCATGTTAATTGACAGCTCACTTATGTACACGGAGTCACAGAGTCACAGACTCTTGTTTCAATACTGTGTTTATTTGCATTACTAGAATTCTTACTATTGTTATTGACAAAATTATGCATCATATTGCTGCAGAGTATCACAAATATTTTTAACCCACCATAATTTAATCCTCAGATTCTTTACAAAAATGCCAAATGAACATTACATGGTTGAAGCGAAACTTATTCTCGGTGTGGCTGCAGAAGATGTACCCAATGCAGCGGAGATAAAGACCATTATTAAAGACATTTGGGACATTCGTATGTCTAAGCTGAGAACATCCATGGATGCGTTGATGAAGTCGGGTGGCAGCTATGGTCGACTGGACCACCTTACGATGATGGAGATAAACTCGGTGAAACCTTTGCTGCCTTCCGCTATGGATGAGTTGTATAAAATTAAAATGGTTAGTATGACAAAGATTATGATCATTAATGATTATATTTATTTGAGTGCAGAATCTAGGTATTAGCTTATAAATTATTTTATCTGCTCCCTTGTTTTAAGACCTATATAAAAGATTCTGAAAGAGTTAGCTTATGGCCATCATTACAACATACATTGTCCTAGTGACTATAATATCCAAATGGATGAAATAAAGTTGTACTATATTTCGTAATAGCAGTTCTTCATCTTTATCCCGTCTGCCCAAAGGGTTTACTCATTAGTCGACCCCAATTTCCATTGCGTGATGTGTGGTATCAGTAAGAATTAAAAAACAATATTAGCTTTCACATGGGTTTCTCTAACACAGAGCCATAACTTTTCATGGTTGATGAACAACCCCATGGTTCAGAATCTTTTGCAGAGGATTATTGTTATGGGTGTAGATAAAGTCTTGAATGAAACTGTTTATAATTAAGTATTTAAACACTCACGTCATACTATTATCTTACTCGGCCTTGTGTGATAAACCCAAATTCATGGTTTAATACCCCTCATTATACAGTTGCATATATAATTATGATTTGATTCTGTAGTTGATTTTTTAATATAAACATCAACAATTTTGGGTTTCTCAATGTAATAATTACCTAGTATAATAAAAAGATTGACCTCATCAAAGATGAATATTTGGAACATGTTTTTTTTTAATTAAGTAGTTTAATCTGTTACTTATTAATTAGTTAGTTCTAATTTTGTTGTTTTAATTATTGTCAAGACATTATTCTTATCAACATTTAGTAGTTGAAGATTGTGTTTCAGAGATGGCCTTATTCTGGTATTATTCTCTAAACATAAAAGTGATTTCATCAAGTCTGTCGGTTGATATGTAGCATGATAATGATATAACAAATTGTCAAAATTTAATTTCAATAGGATTTAATTCAATTAGGGTTAGAGATGCAAGCGAGAATCACATCCAATGTGAAATTAAAAGTGTAGACATAATTTATATAATATTATGTCACTTATGCAAAAACATTTTTTTTCAGGATGAGCGTTTAAAACTTTAATATCCCAAAACATACAATATTTAAAGATTTTTACGTGATGAAAAGCTTATACAGCTTAGCTATTCATCTTTAAAAAAATTAAAAAAGAACTTTCTTCTTCTTCTTCTTGTTGCTCCGGTCGTTTCCGCAACTCGACGTCCTTATGGCGCCTGTTTTGCGTGAGGAGGGTGTATGGCCGGAATCACTCCAGCCAGCCCAGCTCCCCCAGGAACGCCCCCAGGGCCTTCACATTGGTGACTACCTCTTGAAGGTTTCCCGGTGAGCCGAGGTATTTCGCCCAAAAAAAAAAAGAACTTTAAATATGATTTGTTTTGGGATGTTAAAGTTTTAAACGCTTGTCCTGAAAAATGATTTTTTTGCATAAGTGACAGTGTCGCACCGGAGGTGCGACATGTATTATTATATGTATTATGTATTATAATAATTAATTATAATAATATTATTTAAATAGTTATTTTTATACTAAATATTTAATTACTTCATTTTTCTCCTTTCAGATGACAAAACGTGCACCTACTGCAGCCAATTTAAACAACTCAACATTCAGCCAATCAGGAAGCTCACAAAATACCTAGATTAGTTTAGAAAGTATTTACAAGTAATTTTTAAAGATTGTGATATTTTTACATAATTTTATAATAAAAACCAGATAGTTTAATATTTAAGGTATTCATTAAGTAAGAATTTCTTTGCGAAAGTTTTATTTTTTGATGCACTCAGAGATTGCAATAAATTTTCTGAGACCCAAAGCACATGACAAATAACCAGATTAATCTTGCTCGTTGATAAAATTACTCCGAGCAAACAGATTTACATCGGACTTAACTGAGCGGAATTACCGAACGGTTCAGTACCCTTAGCATGAACCATTTGTTGAATGTGTACTGATTTTTAGTTCTCGATACGTCTGTTGTGGCGCTGCTGTTCAAGTTTCCCTACAAGATTTAACGTTGACATTTCCCACTCGCAAACTATGTGAATTCGGTATTGGTTCGTGGTAAGGGTACAGATTTATACTAGACTAGCGGCCTTCTCTCGCTTCGCTTCGGTGTAGAGCTGAACTGTAGACTACAGTTTTTGTTCTCAGGCTTATTTATTTATTTATTTACTAATTTAGTACACACACAATAAAACAGATAAGAACAGGACTAGAAATTTGTACAAGGGCACTGCTTATTTCACATTGAAATTTCTTCCAGCAGGCCCGCGAAAGGAAAAAATAAAGATGTGGTTTTTGGTTCTACTACACCAATGGTCCAGAGATGGCGCTGTAGTCTCCTGAATCGCGCTTTGGTTCCGTTGTTCCAGATTAATAAATACTTTTGATAGGCCTTCACAATGCAGTCGTTAGCACCCACTAAATAGCGATTCTATTTCTATTTTTTTTGGTAGATTTTCTTAATGTGCGGTAAACACAAAAGTAAAACGCTAAAGCGACCAACTTCATGCTGTTAAAATTTTGTGTTACAGTGATGCGCGCGCATCTTAAAATTTCACTCTCATCATTTTTTCATAACGCGCCTAAAGAAGTATAACTTCAAAAAACATAAAATAAAAGGTCGTCAGTGTGTGCCTCCTGAATAAAAAGGACAAAATACAATACTTACATAAACAAAACCTACATATATATCTATATAGACATACTAATAAACATATATATATATGTCTAAAACGCCGGGTAACCAAAACGAAACTACCCTAATACGTGCGTCAAGGGCGGATCCAGCTTTGGCACCAGGGGGGGGGGGGGTCATATAGCCAGCTTTGGCGCCAGGGGGGGTCATATCATCATCATCAGCCTATTAATGTCCCCACTGCTGGGGCACAGGCCTTCCCTATGGATGGAATAGGGAGATTGGGCCATGACCCACCACGCGGGCCCAGTGCGGATTGGTGGGTGCTAACGACTGCAAATGCAGCCGGGACCAACGGCTTAACGTGCCTTCCGAAGCACGGAGGAGCTCGAGATAGTAAATTTTTGGTCACCCATCCAATGACCGACCACTGCGAAAGTTGCTTAGCTTCAACGATCGCAGCCGAACGCGCTAACCACCTGCGCCATCGAGCTCCTCATGGCGTCATCGTCGCCATCATCGGGGTCATATAGTCGTAGTATATTAAATATTGAAAGTACTTAAATAAAATCCCCCTGGGTTTGGTCCATCTGTACCCAGCCCAGGGGGTCATGACCCCCATGACCCCCCCCCCCTGGATCCGCCCTTGAAGTGCGTACTTTTTTACCGTTCATTTATACTTAGTCGTTTCCCCAAATTCCATTGGTACTCGTATTCAGACTAACGAGGAAGTGTAATCGCAACATACTATCTCTTATCTATTAGACAAGTCCGTCCGTCCGTCCGTCTGTGGTGCTGTTTCAGCGGCCAAACCGTAAGAGATAGATAAAGAGAATGTTTAAGTTATAAGTTAAGAATAGTCTGATAAGACTACAAACCCGATTTGAGTAACGTAGCACTTCCGGTTTTCGAGACATCACGAATTTCAAACGAAACCACGCGAAATCTCCGAAGTTCTCAATTAATTAAATACATTTTTTTTCTTTTTTTTAAATCAGGTTTTGATGAACATTTGGTTCACTGGTTTGCTAGTCTAATATAGTGAGCGATGACCTTACATAAATAATAAATAAATAAATATTTCCAATACTCACACCAATTAGCCTAGCCCCAAAGAAAGCACTGTAAGGCTTGTGTTATGGGATACTAGGGTAACGGATAGAATACATATACTGTACATATATAAGTATATTTATATAGAAATACATATTAAACTGGACTTCAAATGCTCGTATTCATCACACTAACATCTGCCCCCACCGGAATTCGAACCCGGGACCACACGAGTAGGCGACACCTTGAAATCCGGCGTACAAACCACTCTGCCACGGAGGTCGTCATAGCACATAATAAAGCATTAAAATATTAACTGTCCTATTTATGGATAGCAATTCATTTATTCCTTTGACTTATTAAATTATGTGATAGTTTGTACATTTATAACTCTGTGCCATCCGTTGCTATTTATTGTCAAGATAACAGGAGCTGATAAATTATTTTTACTATAATTGGTTACCTATTTGAGAAATAAACGTTAGTTAACCTTTCAAATGGGATTTATTCATTTTTATGACAATCTCCGTGGCCGTTTGGTATGTACTATCGCCAGGGCCGGATTTAGGATTGTGGAGGCCCCGGGTCACTAAAGGCTTACGCAGACCGGGACGGCATGGCAAGTGATTTTGCCGTGAGTCAGCGCACACTGGCCGCTTAGATACCGCGGCATTCCGGCACTACGCCACGGTGTGCCGCGGCACGACAAAGCACGCTTCAGCGACTCCTGCTGCCCGATACACTTTTAGTCTTCAGTTGCGTTTGATCGAGTGTTGGTGTGCCTCAGTATTAAAATGTTAGATTGGGATTTGGTGTTGATATCGATTATTGCAGATGAAGAAGGTGCATAGGCTAATAATAGGGATAGAAGAAGATTTTGGGTTGATAATCTATGGAAAGAAAGGGAATCAAAGGGTGAATTCCCCGCTTCTCTACCCCCGTCCGGCATGCCGTTGCCTACCGCAGTATGCCATGGCATCCCGCCACGGCAGCCTGTGGCACGTCTTTTGATGCCGTGCGATAAAATCCCTTTCAATGCCACGGCATCATTTTAAAGCATAACAATTTATGTCGTATTTCTGTAACAGTACGGTTGAATGTCCATTAGTAAAAATTTAAATCCCTTGCCATGCCGTCCCGGTCTGCGTAGGCCTTTAGGATTTGTATGCTTGTTAACCCATCGAAATTTTGTTATCTTTTATCCTGTTGTGGAGGCCCCGGGCCACTTAGGATTTGCATGCTTGTTGACACATCGAAAATTTGTTATTTCTTAAGCTGTTGTGGAGGCCCCTGGGCCACAGCTCCACCTGCCCGGCCTTTAATTCTGCCCTGAGATTAATATAATCAAATAATCATGTATGTTAGATGTACAAAGTACTCTCGCCCCGGTTGCCCTCCCCTAAATCCGGCAGTGACTATCGCGGAATTTTGCGCTCTGTCACTTGGCGAACAAAATGCTTTGAACGGTTTTCTACAGTAGTTTTTACTACGCCCCGCGCTCGCGTCGGACGCGCCAATCCGGGCCGCCGCACAAAAGTAAGACAGAGAGCATTTCATTGATTGAATAATGAATTGAATTGCATTTGTTTTAGTTGCAATTTGTCATCCGCATCGTGATCGCGACAGCGCCATACGAAAAAGTAAGACAGCGATAATTACATGTCTATGAATGAATTTTTACTACGCCGCTACCGCAAGCGATTATGGCATTATGGGTGACAGAGCGGGTCTTTCCGCGAGTGTACCTACGCCGTGTTTCATGGTGTCGCCAACTCGAGAGGTCCCGGTTTCGAATCTCAATGGGGGCAGCTGTATATTTACGAGTAGTTTTACTCTAGTGGATGGATTTTTAATATGTATTCTACATAAATAAATATATATCAAGAGGGCTCGTGACGTCACGTCTAAGTTTATATACCAAGTGACTCTATAATGTTTTCATTCAGTGAATAAGGAAAAAATACGACAAGTCCAATACTTGTTGATAGTCAACCTACACGAAGGAAAAAAGGTAGTCACTATCTTTATTGTTGTAAACGAATGCTAATGTAGCCGGTATCAACGACTCAAAAGCCCTCTTGAGCACGGAGGAGGTCGAGTAATGTTTGATCACCCATCCTATGATCGGCCATTGCTAACGTTTCTTTCCACATCCAGACTAGACCCAGCAGACCCTTACGTAAGCAAATAAGCAAAAGTAGCTGATTGGTTGCAAACGACTTACTGTGACCACTATTCCTACACGAACAAAGAAATTTGGTGACTCATTTCTTTGTCGTACTATTCCGAAGTGGAATTCTTTGCCCGCATACGTGTTACTATAATCTGGGGTCCTTTAAAAGAGGCGTGAAGAAGCATTTTGCAGGCCGGCAAGGTGAGGATGGTTGGTGTGGCAGTTTATAACTACTGTACTAGCTATCTTCGCGTTTGGACTTTATCACCACTTAACATCAGGTGGGGTAGAGTCATTTGCCTACCTGACTATATAAAAAAAACTCAGTTCTACGTTTCTTATTCGATTTGAAAACATACCTATCGACAGAGGAAAACAAAATCTCTTATAGGCCATTTGGTGCTGCTTAAAAATTAACATTAAATAAAAACGAAATTGAGTTAATTATCAATTTCAAACCTTTTTTCCCCTTTCGACGGGTATATTAAAATACTTATTTTTTGTTTCCATTTCAAGAGTTTAATTCCTGGTTTTGGAAGGCGATTTTTAAAAACTGTGAATGCAGTTCTACATATTATTAAAAATAATATGATGTCTTCTTTCAGTAAAATATCCTTACTTCAATATTTAATATACTTTCCCTCCGTGTCACAAACCCATGGGACGCCTGTATATATGAGAAATGGTTATTTGGGAACGCCTCTCAGAGCTTATCGGCTGATAAGCATCCCGATACTGTCCAGTGATAATAGGGAAGACTAATTTTTTTTCTCCGTTTATCAGGTAGATTATCAAAAAGTATTGGACACGTATTTTTTCTTTTTTCATATAATATAAACATTGCAGAAATATATTGATTTGAAAAGTCGCATGACGCCACGTTTTGGTACAATTTTCACTTAGAAGTGACGTCACGAGCTCCTACTCCCAAACTTTGACGCGCTATAACTTTGTCATTTTTTGGTTGATTGCCCAAAGAAAAAATACGTGTCCATTATTTTTTGATCATCTAACTGACGGACTAAATAGAATTTCGTTTACTGTACCCCGTCATCACCCCTATTTCGGTAGCCTTTCAGTGCAAACCATAAAGGCCTCATCAACATAATATAGTTACATTACAGACAGTAAAATCAAACAAAAGTTTTATGAAAAAGAAATATAATATATTTCCATCTTAAAACAAATCTTAAGATACGACAGGACTTAGGTCGACTTGTAAACCTAAACGCTTAGTACTAAAAAAGTTAGTCTCATTTTTACTAAATAGTACGAAAGAATATCTAAAAATGATCTATTTGGGATACTCATTATTAAATCGATACAAAAACCGTTAATATTAAGTCAAAAATAGGCGTCTTCCTAACTATAATATTAAAAGTTTTAGAGTCTGTGCGGATAGAGAATGGGATTTAGATTGGAGGGCGCTGTAGTGCTTTTCTACCGTATTTGTAAGGCTTTACCCCTTTGAGACATGATTAAATACAAAAAACTGCAAGAAATCACAACAACAAACAAATCCGTATCAAAACAAAGCATTGTCGTTTTACAGATTGCTGGGTTTGATTGCCAAATAAAAATCTTAGTTCCGTTTTTCGCCACGCCCATTCTCTTTCCGCACTCTATCTTTTAGGTACCTACTAATATTTTACATTTCAAATTTGTTTAATGTCTATTCACCCAGAAGATCGATAGTCTGCGATAATAGTGTTTCAATGTTCTAACACGCGGCATTATATTAAATTTTTGACGTAATCAAATTCTTGATTTTAACAAAATGTGAAAGAATACAAATTGAGATTTAAAACAAATTTAATGTAAAAAAAAGATTGGTTAAGTAACCTGTTAATCATAATTTTCAATTTCGGTTAATTAAGGGAAGCCGGACTTAAAATTATGTTTTTTTCTGGAATGTATGATTTCAATGAGATTAAATTGTTAAAGGAAAGCGTTAAAGAGATCTGAATATTAATGACTTGCACACCGTCTAATTAAAACGTGATTCGCCGTGTTAAAACATTAGAGGGTAGTTGTTCACAGGGCAAATATCGTACTACCCTCCTTTTATTTAAACAAGTGACACGACTGATTTACCTCTACACTTCTGCTTAACTTGTTCTAACACGCTTGATTTATCATTCATTATAGGGAAAACCCATTTGTAATAGTTTTAAAACGCGTTCATATCCTAACATATAGTAGACGTGGTATTTCAAACTGCTTACTATTAAAAAAGCACGAAATGGACCATTCAATAGAGCTTACTATTATATGTCTAACATATTCTCTGTAGTTAATATAAAAATATATAATTAAAAACAGCTATAGCCGCGTTATACATTTATGGTTGATAAACTTTGCATAGTATGAATGTACACTGTATTAATTATAATGTTTTTCTTTGCAAAGTCATCAAAACACTTTGGTCTAACTCCAGCTTGAGAACTCAGAAATATGAAAGTATTAATTTCCATTATATTTTAGATTAATTAATAGTATAAAAAATATATATACAAACAGTGCTCTGGGAAAGATATGTTATATACAAAATTATATATTTTAACAAAAAAAAAAGAAAAGCTCTTTTCTAATACAATAAACTATTCAGCAAAATAGGTCATATATACAAAGATCTGCCGATTTATAACAAAGCCAAACATGTCTCAAAGTTGCCAGTTTCATTTATTACGATGTTGTCCAAAACACTTTTTCGGGAAGCCTTTCTCATTTGATTGGTAAGGCCTAGAAAAATGCACCTGAACCCAACGCACTTAACATTGCTTTCGACACACAGTTTTTGCAGAACCCTATAAAAATGTGTGTACACTATTCAATAAATTCTTACGAAATATGGCACAGGTTAAAAACGCAAAACGGTCGATAATGTTGCCCGGTGCTCAAAATTACATGAAGTATACAACTTCGAAGCGTTGTCTTTGAAGGCATGCTCAGATTGCTATGTTCTTCTGACGGCAATTGAAACTCAAGAGATCTTCAGTGAAAGGATAACAATGCAGCTTATGCGCTTCTTTTCCTAAATTTTAATATTTACAAGTTACACACTAACCGTATTAGTTAACTAATTAACTTAACTTAATCATAATATATACAGTTACAGTCTATGACTTTTAAATTACTTAGTACACTAATCAACAGTGACTGCCCCTCTATTTGTGCGCTGTTATCAGCATAATAATATGTCATCTTTATAGTTAAAAATACTATTTACATGAAAAAACACGCATCTACGAAGTAACAAATCTAAATTCGCGACGCTAACCATTCCATCTCTCTCGCACGCACTCTTAGTAGTAACCATAGAGGTATAAGAATAGAGTAGGGGAGATATACATTATACACGTGGAAGTGTCCCTCTAATAGAAAGAGAAAGAAGATGAGAGACTGCTAGCTTTCTCTCTCTAATCGCGCATGCGCATTGGCAACCGTAAGCATCTTACTATTTCGATGTGATGCCATGCGTCACAAGAGAGAAAGATAGCTAGCCGTTTCTCATCTTCTTTCTCTTTCTACTAGACACTTTTAGAGCCGCCTTCCCCACTCTATTCTCATACCTCTATGGTACGTAGTATGTTACATAGGAGAAGGGCGGAATATCTCGCGACGCCATTTTGGATTTCCTTTTCGGCGCGAATTATACTGTTCTTTCCGAACGTGGCTTAAACGGCTACAATCTTACTCGGGTCGACTTTCACCCTCAAGAACATGACGTCGTCCTTGATAAAGTTCCTCTTCTTGAGCATTTCGTGGGAGACGAAGCGCGGGAAACCGAAGCCTAGCGCGTCGGGTTCCTTCGACGGCCTCTGGAAGTTCTTCCACGTCGGGTCTGGGACGAAGGACTCCACTATATTGCAGGCGCGGTCAGGGCTTGAGCTCTGGTCGAACAGTGTGAATGAGACGGTATGAGCGAACGGCCAGCGTAGCAATGCATCGTATTCGCCCGGCAAGATCTTGATGTAGACGGACATGTGGGTGCCTTCACCAGCGCCGTTGCCGTTGAGGAAAAGAGACGCCTGAAACAAAAAAAAAATAAAATTTCAATTTTTTTTTCGTCATTCCGCGCAGCAACTATACTCTAAAAATTCTTCTTTATTTAATCCTCATAAGAAATTACCTAAATATAATATAGAACGGAAGAATATCAGTGTTGCAGCGGCAATTCATTTTTGCCGTTGCAACATTATGCTGGAGGAGGCCTAGTTGACGATATACCTTTTGTGTCATGTTTAATGTGTATTTATTGCAATTGTTAATGTATGTCGTCAATAAATGTTTTTCTTTCTTTCTTTCATAATTAACTACATCATTATTCAATGACTTATCTCTCAAAAACAACAAAGAAAGCTTAGAAGTTTTGTAAATGACACAGTATTATGACATGTTATATCAACACATAGGTACAATAATATCTACACCAAACGAGCGTCAAATGAGTAACCAGTAACCACGCACCGGAGCTAATTCCGTCCACGCTATACAATACTACAAGCGCGTGCGCCGGTTAGTCACCCACATAATCATCGCCAAATAAAACGCCGGCAATGCGCTTTTGTTTACTAACAAAGGGCCAGGTTTACAAACATTAGGCTTTAGAAAAGAATTTAAGCACTACAATATCTTAATTCGGGGTGGAATTTCGCTAAGTCGTACGCTTCGTCAGACCCGGAACTGTAGAATGGGTATTTTAAAAAAGATAAAAGTTTGTGAAGCTGTTGACTTAAAATTCTATAGTTATGATTAAACTTACAAATGTTCTATCAACTATTGTGATAGTAACAGATTATTCTCTTAAAAACTAATTATATGCGTAAGCTTGAATGCTATGTAAAATAATGGTATGAAAATTTCAAGAGTATAATATTGTCTCATGGGGCTATTTTCCGCAATGGAATTAACATGGTCGAAAACCTTGTAGGTACTGAGAATAGCCGGTAAATCAGCAAGGAAGATCTTTCTTTTGGGGACGGAACCAAACAACACACATAAATACTCCAATAGATTACTCACTGGACTACTCTGGGGGGGGGGGGGGGGGGATGAAACCTTGACCCTTAGCACGAACCATTATATTATATAATTCGGATAGTTGAATTCGACCTAGATATGTATACTGATGTACGTCAAATGCGTAATGAATTTTAGTTCTCCTTACGTCCGTTGCGGCACTAATGTTCTAGTCTCCATACAAAATTTGACAATGACATTTCGCACTCACAAACTATTCGAATTCGATATTGCTTCGTGCTAGGTACTAACTAGTATAGAATGCAGATGACGCCATCCTTGGTACACGCGTGGGCCATCTTAGCCGCAACATCGTTGAGAAGCTACACGGGAGCGTTTCTATACTGCTTTTTGCAATGAGACTACCAGCTGTCCATTTGATAGGTTATGAGGCTCACCTGCAACTTGTACCCGTACTTGCTTGTATAGAAGGCGGGCGACACTAGTTCGACGCTGTTTTTAGTACACGCTTCGGCTATCTTAGCCGCCCCGTCAGCGGGAGCGTTTCTATACTGCCTTCTACAATGAGACTATCAGCTGTCCATATGATAGGTTATGAAGCTCACCTGCAACTTGTACCCGTACTGGCTTGTATAGAAGGCGGGAGAGACTAGTTCGACGCCGTCTTTAGTACACGCGTCGGCCATCTTAGCCGCAACGTCAGTGACACACTACACGGGAGAGTTCCTATACTGCCTTCTACAATGAGACCAGCAGCTGCCAATATTATAGGTTATGAAGCTCAACTTTAACTTATACCCATACTGGCTTGTATAGAAGGCGGGCGAGACTAGTTCGACGCCGTCTTTAATACACGCGTCGGCTATCTTAGCCGCCACATCAATGAGAACGTTCCTATACTGCCTTCTACAATGATACTATAAGCCGTCCATATGATAGGTTAGACGCTAGATGGGGGCGTACCTATACTGCCTTTTACAATGAAAGTGGCAGATGTCCCTAATTATAGATTATGAAGCTCACCTGCAACTTGTACCCATACTGGCTTGTATAGAAGGCGGGCGAGACTAGTTCGACGCCGTCTTTGGTACACGCGTCGGCCATCTTAGCCGCAACATCGGTAAGGCGCCATACAAGAGCTCCAGAGCAGCCGCAAGCTAGTCTCGCTACGGCTCCACGCAGTGCTTCTAGTTGCCGCGCCTGTCTTGCTGCCAGTGCTAGCACTAGGGATAAGTGCGACTGGCAACTTTCTTCTGTATGCCGCTCCAGCGCTTGGCGCGTACCCTGTACAGGAAAATGTCGACGTCACTTCTTATGTTAGGTTTACATTCAACTCATACGCGGGGCAATTTTGACGGCTTCCGTGGTCGAGTGGTTTGTACGCCGATTTCATGGTGGGGCCGACTCGAGAGGTCCCGGGTTTAAAACCCGGTGAGGGCAGATAACACTATATTTTGATTAAAGCAGACTTTGGTTCTTAAAAGCTTTCTTTAAAAAAATTAAGGCAATTTAAACCTTAAACGCTTTTCTAACTATAATGTTACTTTGTGACTTTGTGAGAGAAATAAATAAATCATTCATTCATTCAATTAGTAGAGCAGCAAAAATATATTTATTTCAAAAATAAGGGCAACTTAAGCACATACTATATTTTTTCTATTGTTTTGCCATCTACTATATTTTCAGAGGTATCAGCTTCGAAAATACATACTATATTTGATGGAAATAAAAGTTACTTAACTAACCCAAAAGTACTAAAGTAGAATCCGTTTATTATGACTCCGCCTATATTGACCAACCGCCTATTATGACGTAATTACACAACGAAGTTTGGTTTTCATATAAAATTCATCGTAACAATGTCGGATATATTGACTTCGCTTACAGTGACATGTCGCTTATTATGACCCATTTTTAATCAATTTTGTGCGTTTATAGTGACCGACATGGTTCTTTACACCTACGGTAATGTTCGTTGATTCAAATTGAACATCAAGCATTGTTTTTAGTGATATGCTATATAAAAAAATGTCATCTCAACGTCGTAAAGCATTTACGACTGAGGAAAAAGGTGCAATAATATGCTGATTAGAAAATGGAGGATCAAACTCATCTCACAATCTTTTTTCATAAAAATGTTTTGTATAACGCCCGCTTAGTATGACGTGTTTGTCGATTCCCTTCGAAGTCATAATTAACGGATTGTACTGTATATTTGATAGAAGAAAGGGTACGTATATCTAGGTGTCTGGTACGGGCGCATGTCGCTCCGTGTAAGCGTATATCTAGCTGGCCGGTATGGCCTCACCTTGAACCGACACCCGGCGTCCCTGTATGCGCACGCGACGCCGGCCGCGGCGCAGTGGTCGCGCAGGTGCGCGTCGAGCTCGTCGCGCGGCACGGGCGCGGCGGCGCAGCGCTGCGGGCACGGCACCGGGGCGCGGGCGCATGTCGCTCCGTGTAACCGTATATCTAGCTGGCCGGTATGGCCTCACCTTGAACCGACACCCGGCGTCCCTGTATGCGCACGCGACGCCGGCCGCGGCGCAGTGGTCGCGCAGGTGCGCGTCGAGCTCGTCGCGCGGCACGGGCGCGGCGGCGCAGCGCTGCGGGCACGGCACCGGGGCGCGGGCGCATGTCGCTCCGTGTAACCGTATATCTAGCTGGCCGGTATGGCCTCACCTTGAACCGACACCCGGCGTCCCTGTATGCGCACGCGACGCCGGCCGCGGCGCAGTGGTCGCGCAGGTGCGCGTCGAGCTCGTCGCGCGGCACGGGCGCGGCGGCGCAGCGCTGCGGGCACGGCACCGGGGCGCGGGCGCATGTCGCTCCGTGTAACCGTATATCTAGCTGGCCGGTATGGCCTCACCTTGAACCGACACCCGGCGTCCCTGTATGCGCACGCGACGCCGGCCGCGGCGCAGTGGTCGCGCAGGTGCGCGTCGAGCTCGTCGCGCGGCACGGGCGCGGCGGCGCAGCGCTGCGGGCACGGCACCGGGGCGCGGGCGCATGTCGCTCCGTGTAACCGTATATCTAGCTGGCCGGTATGGCCTCACCTTGAACCGACACCCGGCGTCCCTGTATGCGCACGCGACGCCGGCCGCGGCGCAGTGGTCGCGCAGGTGCGCGTCGAGCTCGTCGCGCGGCACGGGCGCGGCGGCGCAGCGCTGCGGGCACGGCACCGGGGCGCGGGCGCATGTCGCTCCGTGCGCCGCTACTGTGTCCTGCAACCAGAAGGAGGATGTTCAAATGTAGACTTTAACATAACAATCCCCAATTAGATTACAGACATTAGACTCCATAATCTCAACTACAAAGGGTATGTTACTGAATCTCCCTATTCTGTCCATATGGAAAGCATGAGCCCCAACAGTAGTGTATTTAACAGGCTGATGATGACGATTTTACGATTTACTTATGTAGATACATACGTGTCGTGCAATGTAAAAAGAAAGGTCGACTCAAGGGCGGATCCAGCCCAGGGGGTCATGAGGTCATGACCCCCTGGGCTGGGTACAAATGGACTACACCCAGGGGGATTTTATTTAAGTACTTTCAATATTTAATATACCACGACTATATGACCCCCCTGGCGCCAAAGCTGGATCCGCCCTTGGGTCGACTAAGTAACAAAGAAATGGAAGGAATATTCGATTCAGGTGCGTTTCATAGCAGAAGACTGAGAAATTTCAAATAAACGATATATTTGAAGACTTGGACTTCAAATATATCGTTAATTTGAAATTAACATGCTTGATATGCTCGTACAATTACTTCAAAGTAATTTTCTTTGTCGAACTGGTGATAATGTCAACAAATAGCTTACTGAGCTGCCACCCTATTCATTATAAAATGATTTTTCCTCTTAACAACCACTATTGAACCCGTTAGTTCGCTTGGTTTTCTTCTCAGTTTTCACTAGTTATACATTGGATATTACCAACTTGAAAAGGTTTTCGAAACTACCGCCAACGCTTCTTAAGTTTTTGCCTTACATAAGAACTTTCGCAGTGGTCGGTCATTGGATGGGTGACCAAAAATCTTGTATCTCGAGTTCTCCTCCGTGCTTCGGAAGGCACGTTAAGCCGTTGGTCCCGGCTGCATCTGCAGTCGTTACAACCTGCCAATCCACACTGGACCCGCGTGGTGGCTCATGGCCCAATGTCCCTATTCCATCCATAGGGAATGCCTGTGCCCTAGCAGTGAGGACATTAATAGGCTGATGATGATGATGGTGAAGAGCTGGAGCATCCTGCTTATGTTCAGAAGTTTGTAACCATGGCAGTTTATGATGATGAAAAGCCTATTTACCTGTGTGTACCGCTGGCCGCAATGTCGACACGGCACTAGCCGCTTACTGCAGTGCTGTTGCAAGTGCTGCTGCGTGTGCCGCCGCTGCACCTTCGCACCGCACTTGTTCTCGCAGTAGACTGGCTCGTGCCCGCAGTTGCCTTGGTGCTCCTGCAATATGAACAACGATTGGAGATGAGTTGAACAAATGGAGGATCTAGCCCAGTGTTTCCTAACCTTTCCAATACTGCTACACCTGTTAGGGAAACAGATTTTACCCCGACTTTAAAATGTTATCATCAGTCCAAGAAATTCCAATTTGGCCGCTATATTTTTGTCTCTAATAATGTCATCGTCATGAGAGAATCTCGCCCCGCTTCCCACACTCAGCACCACGCGGGCTCGCTAGCAAGAAGGAGCGCATGCTCTATTTAGTAGTATTATTATATAGTATTTTCTTATTATTTAGATTTGACCAAATAATTAGGTTCTTTGTTACCCCCGAAGTATGGCTGATTTACCCCCGGAGGGGTAATTACCCCCAGGTTCGGAACCCAGGAGCTAGAATGATGTGAGGTGAACATTAGAATTTTGTCTTTTAAAGAATAAGCATTTGATATGCTTGTTTTACAAAGGTTTACAGTGGTTTTGGGTTGAAAGGGCCTGTCACGCAAGATATGAGTGCCAAAGGTAAGGCACTTTTGGACCATAACGGAAGCTGATGAAAGACACTGTTTTTTCTCCCGTGCGTGCTGCCCGTGAACTCCTTGTGGCAGTAGTCGCAGTCGCAGGTGGTCTCGCATCAACACGCGGGAGATCAAAGTATCGAGCTGTAAGTGTGGGAGTGTGCGAGTAAAGCACGGTGCTGACCTCTAGTGCACTGCCCGAGAACTCCTTGTGGCAGTGATCGCAGTTGGCGCGGCGACGCGGGCACGTGTAGCGCAGGTGGTCTCGCATCAACACGCGGGAGATCAAAGTATCGAGCTGTAAGTGTGGGAGTGTGCGAGTAAAGCACGGTGCTGACCTCTAGTGCGCTGCCCAAGAACTCCTTGTGGCAGTGGTCGCAGTTGGCGCGGCGGCGCGGGCACGTGTAGCGCAGGTGGTGTCGCATCAACACGCGGGAGATCAAAGTATCGAGCTGTAAGCGTGGGCGTGTGCGAGTAAAGCACGGTGCTGACCTCTAGTGCGCTGCCCGAGAACTCCTTGTGGCAGTGGTCGCAGTTGGTGCGTGTAGCGCAGGTGGTTTCGCATCAATACGCGGGGGATCATAGTATCGTGCTGTAAGTGTGCTAGTAATGCACGGTGCTGACCTCTAGTGCGCTGCCCGAGAACTCCTTGTGGCAGTGGTCGCAGTTGGCGCGGCGGCGCGGGCACGTGTACCGCAGGTGGTCTTGCATCAGAACGCGCGGGATCATGGCGCCGCATTGAGCCGCGCAGAGGACCGCGTCGTGCTTGCACGTGTTCAGGTGCGCCTGGGGGCGAAATCATTTCATGTAATACAGTGTTTCCTAACCTTTCCAATACTGTTGCCCCTGTAACCAATTAGGAAAACAGATTTTACCCCGACTTTAAAATGTTATCATCAGTCCAAGAAATTCCAATTTGGCCGCTACATGTTCGTCTCTAATAATGTCATCATCAGGAGACCCACACTCAGCACCCCACGGGCTCGCTAGCAAGAAGGAGCGCATGCTCTATTTAGTAGTATTATTATATAGTATTTTTTTATTTTTTAGATTTGACCAAATAATTGGGTTCTTTGTTACCCCCGAAGTATGGCTGATTTACCCCCGGAGGGGTAATTACCCCCAGGTTCGGAATCCAGGATGTAATAAAAGTCGAGCATCTGCTAGTCGGACTCGCCCATAGGGGGTTCAGTACATATTTGTAGGTACTTATTTTTTTTTAAAGAGAAACTTCTTTGTGTGTGTGTATGGGATGCGTGCGCTGCGCTTCCCAACGAGCATGAAAGTTCGAGGGTAATTTGGCAAAGGCTGAAATGCTACGAGCGTCACACGCGTTCCCGAGATAAAGGTATATTGACAGTTAGACGGACAACAAAGTGAACCATTGACCTTCTGTTTCCGGCAAAGTTAACCAATGAAATCACATTATTAATATTATAAAAGCGAAAGTTTGTGAGTGTGTATGTTTGTTACTTCTTCACGTCCATACGGCTGGAGCGAATTTAAAACATTTGGTATGGAGTTAGCTGACACCCTGGATTAACATATAGGCTACGTTTTACTGCGGGAAAATATCCCTAATAAACCGGGGGTAACACCGCGGGGCACGGCTAGTAATATATATATATAGATAACTAATTTGGACAAAGCTTTTTTTTTCTATCGTTGATACAATAGTATTTTATGTAATGCAACTTCCGCGAAATCCAAAAGCATTAACGAGCTTTGACGACCTCCGTGGTCGAGTGGTTTGTACGCCGGGTTTCATGGTGTCGCCGTCTCGAGAGGTCCCGGGTTCGAATCCCGGTGGGGGCAGATGTTTAGTGTGATGAATACGAGCATTTGTACTGCAGTCATGGATGTTTAATATGTATTTCTATATAAATATACTTATATATGTACTGTTATATATTCTATCCGTTACCCTAGTATCCCATAACACAAGCCTTACAGTGCTTACTTTGGGGCTAGGCTTAATTGGCGTGAGTGTTGGAAATATTTATTTATTTATTTATTAAACAAAATAATAAAATACTATGTGGAAAGTATTAAGTTACATACTTCGTAATAAAATAACAATATATTGTTAATACAAGAAATTGCTTCAAACTTTAAATACCATAATAAATGTATATACCTAGCATTTTCTTGCCTCAATGAATGAATCACACAACAAATTAATCACTGAAAGACTTTACTAGCTGTGCCCCACGATGTTACCCGCCATTTATTAGGGATATTTAACACAGTAAAACGTAGCCTATGCGTTAATCCAGGGTGTCAGCTAACTGCATACCAAATTTTATTAAAATCGCTCCAGCCGTTTAGATGTGAAGAAGTAACAAACACACACACTTACACACGCACAAAATTTATAATATTAGTGTTTTATAGTCGGTATAAATAGCGTTATCATCATCATCATCATCAGCCTATTAATGTCCCCACTGCTGGGGCACAGGTCTTCCCTATGGATGGAATAGGGAGATTGGGCCATGACCCACCACGCAGGCCCAGTGCGGATTGGTGGGTGCTAACGACTGCAGATGCGGCTGGGACCAACGGCTTAACGTGCTTTTCAAAGCACGGAGGAGCTCGTGATAGTAATTTTTGGTCACCCATCCAATGACCGACCACTGCGAAAGTTGCTTAATTTCAACGATCACAGCCGAACGCGCTAACCACTTGCGCCATCGAGCCCCTGAAATAGCGTTCAGCTTTAAAATTAAATAGCTGTGACAAACTACCAAAGAGGTTATCAAAACAAACATTAATAACATAACCACGAACTTTCTTAACAACAAAAAAGTCAGGAAAGAATAATTATAATTGATTAATAGTGGCTCGATGGCGCAGGTGCTTAGCGCATTCGTCTGCGATCGTTGTAGTTAAGCAACTTTCGTAGTAGTCGGTCATTGGATGGGTGACCAAAAATTTACTATCTCGATCTCCTCCGTGCTTCGGAAGGTAAGTTAAGCCGTTGGTCCCGGTTGCATCTGCAGTCGTTAGCACCCACCAATCGGCACTGGGCCCGCGTGGTGGGTCATAGCCCAATCTCCCTATTCCATCCATAGGGAAGGCCTGTGCCCCAGCAGTGGGGACATTAAGAGGCTGATGATGATGATGATAATGAATAGTGGCCACAAATAAAATTTTGTTTGTACAATTACGCTAATGAGAAATGTGCAAATTAATTTGATTAACTGTACAGTTCTAATTACCTAATTGGTTAGTGGAAATTAGTTGCTGATAGTGAAATTTGATAAACCAATAATAATTTATGACAATGCTAGGTAGGTAGGTGCCCAATGACCGAATTGACGATAGCCCGCTAAACAAATATCTAGTCCGGTGAAACGTAGGTACAGTCGAAAACATATTACTTTACTAGTAACACTCTAAATGATAAACAATTGAAGTGCTATTCAATATAGAACATAAAAAATACTAGAAAAAACCCACTCGGCCCAGGCATTAAACAGGAATCGAACCTGCGCCTGCATCTCCCTCTACCCGGGCGGACGCACTATACAATAATGCTACCAAGACATTTTTGAAGTGATAAATTCATATGGGACGGTAAACCGCTCCCCCCCTCGCCTAAGGAGTTAGACGCCACAGCCCGCCCGCCCATCAGAGGTATGTACCCAGACCCACCCCACTCTTCCACCCATCAATCCCCACTATCACCCACCCATCCCCTTTTATTACCCACCAATCCCCTTATCACCCTCGAATCTTTTTCATCCTCCAATCACCTTTTTTACCCAAGATTCCGTTTTCACCCTCGAATACCTCGACTTCCTCGGATCCCCTTTACACCGTCCAATCCCCTTATCACCCTCGAATCTTTTTCACCCTCCAATCCCCGTTTTCACCCTCAAATCCCCTTTTCACCCTCCAATTCCCTTTTCACCTACCCACCTCCTCTGATGTGTTTCTGTATGTGAAAAAAGGATAGTTTAAGTTTTCACTTCATTCGTGCGTTCCGAGACCCTTAGGCTTTTATTTTGTAATAAAACTGATTAGATTTGTAAATTTAACAGTGCTTGCTATGCTTAAAATAACCTTTTTATACTTTTAAATTAAGACGGTACACTGTGTCCAATTCCGACGTAACACTACATCAAATATGGTGGGGAGGTAGCTGCGTCGATAAAAAAAAATTTAGATGTGTGTGATGACGTATTAGAGCAGATGGTATACGCGCACGCGAAATCGGTTCGAAAGTTCTCACTAACTTTTGTTCAAAGACTGCGACAAAGCTCACCTTCAACTTGCGTAATTCGTCCGACCATTGGCATCCTTGCTTGTGATGAATGCAGTACACCACAGACCCCATGATCGCCTTCTCAGACTCGGGATCTGGATATATCTGGAACAAGCGCAAAAACATTATTAATACACCAATCACACTAAGATGCACAACAGAAACAACCAGAATCACAACCTTCTTTATCTTTGAAATTATAAACTTAATCATTTTTATATTTTTCCCTACAACAACACTACGATTTATTAAAAAGTTCACGTAAAACACAACGTCAGACGCAACAGCCCCAAGACTGATTGAGGCGCCCGCCGCGCTGGAATAACGGATTAAATAGGACAACGCGATTAAAAATAAACCACCATTTCAAAAAGAGAATATAAAACAAGCGTGAGCTGTACGCACCGTGCGCTCGAATATGGAACACATCGTTCGAAAATATGCAAAATGGCTGCCGTTTGTTTTTCGCGCGCTGTATGTATGAAATAAATTCGAAGCGCAGGAGTGTTCGCTCGAAGGGACTGATATGAAATGAATGCGTTCCGTTTTTCGTTATCTTTATGGGTGCAACGAACAGATGGGCCGAGCGTGGACCACCGTCCCCCAGTTTGTGCCAGATAAGCGTGATTTTTCACTTCCCAAACCAGCTGGATAATGGAATAAGCAAACACTCTCGTTAGATTCCTTTGGACGGGTTCCTTTCACAATGTCGAGCTAATTCTTCCGGGAAATCAACGTACTTTAGATAAATTACGTGCGATAGTCGACTTCATAATAGCTAATAAAAAGGACATAAAACAGTTTGTAAACAAAGCTGAATGTAACGAGATTTAAACGTAGTCACGACATCTCACTATGTGAGAAGATGTCACCGATCACCCGACGCCTCTTAATTTAAAAACAGAATGAAACTACAAAGTTTGTTTAACATAACGCGAACGCCTGTCCTTCCATTACATTGACAAATTTATATTCCACTCGTAGTAGAGATGATGAGGCAGACAAGCGATGGACGTGACACGTTTAGTTTGTGTGAAAGATCAAACGTCGCTCGTAGTACAGTGTTCTATTTACAAACATTGAAGCATGTGGTCATCGGCATGGCTGCTGCATAACCGTTCTACCTTAGAATCCATATTCCATAAAAGCAAAACAACACAGCATCTAATATCCAGTGTGACATGGTAATGTCTGTTTTAATCCGTGGCACTAAAACTTAAAGTGGTGTGCGTTTTGCTTCGAGGATAGGTGCACTCGATGTTTGTGATGTTGAAATTTTCAAATATAGAATGTTATTTGTGTCCTATTCTAAAAAGATGGACCGCGATGTGTTGAACTCTCCCGCATCGTTCAATTATAGAACGCGTTGTATCGTAAGATGTCCAAGATGGAAAAGGCATAGCATTGGCTGCCAATATAGGTAGTTAAGACGTTATAATTTTCATTATTTTAAAGCATGTAACTGCTTGATTGTTTAAATCTAAAGAAAGAGGTAGAGGAAGGAAGGGGTTCGAGTCCCGTCTGCTGCCTGGTCTGCGTGGATTTTTTTCTAGTTATATTTTCTTTAGAGTTAGACGTTTTTAAAGAATGGTAGATGTGAAGCATAAGGATAGCAAGAAAATGAGGATGCATCTCTGCCATTTGTAAATTATCATTTGGTTGGAGAGGACGGCATTCGCTTCGCCAGCTACGTTTGAAAAGTAGACGTTGTTAAATCTAGGAACATATTCAGCATTAACATTGAGACAAGGACATAAGCAATATTAATTAATCAAAATCAACATACGAATGATCTTTGGATAAGGTTACGAAATGCAATCAAACTAAACATTGATACCCATATGTGGGTAGCTCTCACACCCACACTACCAGGACCTGAATAAATTGTTGGTATCTTTATAATAACGTCTAAATTATTGGACTACAATTCGCGTGGGTGGCTAATTTCAATAATTAACCAAAAAACAAACAAAAAGCCATTAATACCATGAAACTATTAACAATAAATGATAAGTAAGTACTAGTGATGTAACGAATGTAATTTTTTGAACATTCGCGAATATCTGGTACCGACATTCGCGAATGCGAATGCGAATATATATGTTGTTGTTCAAAATTGGCGCCAATTGTCTATGGCATGGTGGCAGTCTCGTTCGAATTGCCGAATTGATATGAACTCATCCAAGTGTCATTCCGCTCGCGCCGGTCGTTTCGTAAACAAAACAAGTGAAGTTTGAGGTTAGAGAATAGTGATTAATTAACATGAGTAAATCAAATTCTAGTGAAAAATCGACTTATTCCACACTTTGCGATGCTGAACGAGCTAAATGCAAGCTGTGTAACAATTAATATTCAAAGAAAGGAAAACTACAACTTCTTCAATTTTTTTTTTATATTCATATTCGTAAAATATTCGCAGAGTTTTTGCGAATAATCGTTACATCACTAGTAAGTACCCGTGGTAAGTACTTATTAGAAATAACGTTCCGTTTTTGCTGAGTCGAGAGTAAACTTTGCACCTGTGTCTATGCAACTAAGCACCTAACTAATTTACAAAGAAAATGCGCGCGTACAGTTTTTATTGACTCAAAGCATTCCTCAAGGTCCGGCGGTTCTACTTATCTACGAAGGTTGTATGTCTGTCTGTGCGTGTGGGCGCCATGATGCAAGTTATCTTTACAACTACCCCGTGGGCGGGGTCAAGTCTCGCATTAATAAGCATTTTATTCCTTAAACGCAAATAATGTTTCTATACAAGGCTTATGTTGAATATTTAACCGTACTCGAAACTTCTTAGGTATGGTCTATTTTGGTGCACGCGGTGTTTGAGTACTACCAAACGGCTTCTATTTTAACTAATCTTATTTTAATCTGAGGCAGAACCTTTAATTTAAATTATAAGTGTAGTGTGAGGAGCTCGATGGCGCAGGTGGTTAGCGCGTTCGGCTGCGATCGTTGAAGTTAAGCAACTTTCGCAGTGGTCGGTCATTGGATGGGTGACCAAAAATCTTTTATCTCAAGTTCCTCCGTGCTTCGGAAGGCACGTTATGCCATTGGTCCTACTGTATCTGCAGTCGTTAGCACCCGCCAGTCCGCACTGGGCCCGCGTGGTGGGTCATGGCCCAATCTCCCTATTACATCCATAGAGAAGGCCTGTGCCCCAGCAGTGGGGACATTAATAGACTGATGATGATAAGTGTAGAAATTTAATGCCACTTTTTATGTACCTACATTTTGGGCATGGAGGAGAGGGCATGAGATTTTTGGATAAATTATGGAGTCATTTTCGTTCCAAAGCGGAGACGGTCTTAACGGTATGAAGTGAATTTGATGAAGCTTCATTGAATTTAATACAATTCACTACATACGTTTGAGCGTTACAAAACTGTTTTAATTCACTGTATTAATATTTAGCTTTTAAAAGCTTAATATATGCACACACGCAATTGTAATTTCACATTCAAAGTACTTGCGTACCTACATTTAATTCATTCGACAGTTTCCTGTGCTGCCCGCCGCATATATATTTTACTGTTAATTTGTATTAATGAAAAGGTCATCTTGTTTTTAAAATACTCAATTTCATTGCAAACTCATATTTATATCATTCTATCTTTCTTCACCAATAGTTTGAATTTTAATTCAAGCTTTATTCAGATTATCAGATCACTTCATACTTTTCAAGTCGAAGGAGATAGAAAAGGGGTTCAAAGTATGATTTTTTGTTGAATAGCAATTTAACAACTTAGTGCAAGTAGGCCATATTAGAGTTTTTAAAAAGTTTCCGAATACAATATATTCTTTTTGGTTTGGCAGCACACGTCGAGCGTGAAATACACATTCCAAAATCAAAATTTGTATTTATAATTCGTAACTGGTTGGTTTTGGATTTTTTTTTCTAAATGGCTTTGCACGGCTTGTGCATTTAGCCAATGGCAAGTGTTTAAATGTTTACAAATACTATAGCACTCGTGGTCAAAGTATTAAATTAAGTCAAAGTAAGTGGCAGTGAAGTCAATCCTCCTTTCCCTGTTTCAGAAAATGTCTGGGGATTTACTGGAACCTCCCCGTGGACTACTTGAGGGAACGTCGAAAGACACTTTCCGCTATTTTGTTTCACCTGCCAGCACTTATGCATGTTCCGAACAACTTAGTGGCTAATAATCCACCATTATATTATTAGACCTAACATCCGCCAAAGCACAATTTTTAACAAGAAAACAGCTAAAGTGACTTTTCCCGATCCCGCCAAAAAGTCGGTTTTGGATATTGAGTATTATTTTTCGTGTTTAACAAAAAAAATATAAAGTTTTACCGGCCAGTTTTAGGGCAGATACTATCGGTGATAACTTTATGGTTGTTAAAGATTCTTTCTGATTCTGTTTTCAAAGGGGAATGCCGTCGGCTGATTGACAACTGACGGTGTTGTAAAGAAACATGTTCAGCATACGGTTGGGAAATGTTGAACAACCTCTTATTATCTAGAGATTAAGGTTGAAACTCGTGTTAGCACACAGATAGTAGCCGACGGTGAATAGTTTCGGTCTCGTCAAGCTATCGACATGCGCTGACGTGGGAATGTAAACAAATCCCTAAAAATATAACGGGTTCACTTTCTCTAGTGTTTTGTAGTAAGCTCTGAGTATTATAAATTTTTTCCCCAACTTTTCACATTAATGTTAAAAAAAAATCAACACACACACCAATTAGCCTAGCCCCATTAAGCACTATAAGGTTTGTGTTAAATTGTATTATGGGATACTAAGTATATTTATATAGAAATACAAATTAAACATCCATGACTGGACTACAAATGCACGTATTCATCACACAAACATCTGCCCCCACCTGGATTCGAACCCGGGACCTCTCGAGTCGGCGACACCATGAAACCCGGCGTACAATCCACTCGGCCACGGAGGTCGTCAAAAAGAATCTGTGCTTGTATTGTAACCTTAAATATATATTTTTTTTATTAATTTTCTAGTCTCGGTGCAAAGGCAACGGATTAACAAAGCCTTGCCTCTTTTTTATTTTTTCTTTTTAATTATATAATTATGCATATAAAAATCTTTAGTGTTTGGCATCCACTTGTCAGATAAAGGACCCAGTTGAAAACCAGCGCCAGTGCATACTGCACTGACATTATACTGGACTGGGCCCTTTTCAGCGCAGCCGTGGATACGGAGTGGTATCATAGATAGATAGATAGATAGATAAATCATTTATTCCCATCAGTACAACACACAAATTCAAGTAAACAAATAGAACAATTAATTACTAGGTATGTAACTGTGTGCCGCAACGATAGAAAAAGGCAAAAGCTCAGCGATACCTTTGCTCTGAGAACAAAGCACTGGTTTTCAGTTCTGCCTAGAAAGCGCGTAACGTGAAACGACATCGACGTGACGTGATTAATTTATTGTTAAGAGAATTAAATTAGATTATAATTTTATTAAATTAAAAAGATTATTAAATTATTTATTGCTGGATGCGAGTAGCCCAAGATCGATCTGAGTGGCGTGCATTTGGAGAGGCCTATGTCCAGCAGTGGACTATGATAGGCTGTTGATGATGATGATGATGATGATTAAATTATTATAATATAACTATATATAATATTTATCATTCACCAAAAATTATTAATTATTACTGTTGTTATTACTTTTTAGTATTTATATTAATATTGAATTTCTGAATTAATATTTACCCATCAGAATTTAACACTCACTTATCACGTATACACGTATCAGTCACTTTGTAAGTTTTAACTATAACAATTTTATCTGTATCCGTGCACTGTACTGAATAAATGATTTTGTTTGTTTGTTTGAACATTTTCCCAATAATGACCCAAACACGTAGAAGCAAGCACACGAGTTAATACCTGTACACCGAAGTCAAATTAAATTTGATATCACGTTAAGAAATGATCCGTCGCATCACGTATGAAACCGCAGCAAATAAACCAAACAACGAGTGTAATGGCCGAGCCGGCACACGTCCGCACGGAAGCGGGTTCGATGCCCGTCGGCGACTTACGCCGCGGGTAATAAGTAATGCCGATTTACTACGTAATTATGGTGATTATTATTATGTAACAAGCAACCGATGGCGTCAAGGGAGGTTGGATGGTAAAATTAGCTCTGTTTCTGTTTGTATTTGTATTTTGAGCTTAGATATTGCTTAATTGAAGCTAAATGTAGTGTTTTTATTATGAATTTGAGATGATACACTATTTGAATTTTTAATTTTAAGCATCTAACTGCTTGATGTTTAAATCTAAAGAAAATATTACTAAAAATAAAACACGCGGACCAGGCAGCAGACGGGACTCGAACCCCTTGCACCTTAAGAAAGGCTAGAAAGAATTCCACGTGGACATCAGGGCCGCGGTAGCATAATGGTCAGTGCATTTGCTCGGTTAGGGAAGGGTGCGGGTTCGAATCCCGTATGCTGCCTGGTGCGAGTGGAATGTTTTCTAGTAATATTTTCTTTAGATAATAAAATATGTTGAAACGAAGTTCCTTTTCATACAGAGTGGAATGGCGGATGGAGGCTAGGCGACAAAAAAGTGTAAATTTTTCCCGCCACAACCGTAAATGTTTCGGCGCGAAACAACTAACTGAACCAAGAGTACCGCGACACTCACCTTTGCTTTTTTTCATTAAAAATGTAAAATAATAAAATTAAAAAAAATAATGCATAAAACGAAGATATGTTGAAAAAAATAACACAACGATATCGTTTATAACAATACAAAAACAGAGCTGTTTACCAAGCACGACGTAACACATCTATTACTATTGCTGAAACAATATATATCTTAATAAACATCAAGATTTACGAAGTGCGGTGCCTAATTACACAGGAAACGAAAGCACGACTACCTAAGTATCAACGAAACAATAGAACGCGTGATTGTTTTGTATGTAAGCAATACTTATAACAACTCTCTTTGCCGTATTAAAGAATCGTTGTAATGTAAGTAACTTGCAGCAATAGCGCGTGGGAGACGTAATATCCTGCTATTATCGTTTACAAACACAGACTGACCCGCTGAGATCTTCAATGGACTGACAGCATGTCGATTCATCATCGTTTGATGCTAATGCACCCCGTGTTTTTGTTTATACGCTACGCCAGACTATTGGTAATAGAGCAAGCGCAAAAAAAGTCCGATTATTCAAAAATCCTATTTTAAAATCATGAGCACGTTCCGCTGTTGATTGAGCAAATTTCGACGAAGATTTGTTCTCGAATGAAAATCAAATTTGAAAAATAGAACA